TTGTTTCCTTGTTACGTGGCCATACCATTGTAGTTTGCGCTTTTTCACAGTCACAAGTAGGTCATCGTACTCCCCAATTGCCTGGCGAACCCTTTCTTTCACTGTATCATTGGAGATATGGTCCCTATAGCAGATGCCAAAAATGCTTCTGAAGCATATCATCTCCATCACCTTTATTTTCCTTTCAAGATCGGTTGTTAATGTCCAGGATTCGCAGGCATACGGGAAAATGGAGAGGACTAATGAGCGCATCAGTCTGATTTTGGTGCTGGGGGCTATATTTTTGTCCTTCCATATTTTTTTAGCCTCTTTAGTGCTGTTGTAGTCTGCGCAATCCTTGAAATCAGTTCGCGCTTGGAGCCTTCTTCTGAGACTATTGCCAATGCTATGAAATATATAAAAAATTTAGCGGTCTCACTTTAGGCGCATTTTTTTAAAGCAGCGAATAGCAGACCTGTTCCCCCCTACGCTTTCATCGTAGTAACTAAGTTTTAAAGCCTAAGACCGTGGCACCTAAAACGCTGCAGTCACTTTGGGGACTTGTTTCGTTGGTTTGGTTTGGTTTATTTGTAATGTTGTTTTTTTTTAATTGGTCTGTTTTCAGTAAAATAAAACTGTTACCACAATTTTTGGGTTGACACCGTAAGCAATCGAATAAAAATAAATTTGATTGGCTCTTGCGGTCTCGATCTCAATGAACCAACCAGAATATTTTTCTTTTATTGGATTGCATTGTTAATACTTAACTGCAATTGTGCTTGCCTAAGACCTTAACCCATCCTTAAGAAAGAAATCGGAAGACAATTAATCCTTAATATTTATTTGTGTTAACTTACATAAGCACGACTGAGTAGATTTCCTTTCACAACTTGTATTTTGATTGCAAACATTGCGCCCCCTCCCCCCCCCCACACACACACACCGACACACAATTGACCAAACTACTCTTTAAAGCTTAAAACTTCGTTTTGTATTTGAGAGCTGAAAGCTACTCGGACACTGACCCAGGTGTAAACGGACATGGAGGAACCCCATTCAAGAGACAACGGTAGCAATTTTAAAAAAAAGGTAATCTCCTATCACTCATTATAAATCATTGAGTTTACCAAAAGTCAGGTGGTGGTGGTGGTTGTTGTGGTTGTTTTTGTTGTTGTTGTTGTTTGTTCCATGATTTAGTAAACCGTCGGCACACACACACACAAATTGTTTACAAGCCCAGAAGATTGAGCCGACATGGATGTGGTTCATTTGACTTTTTTTTTAAGCTTTGAGACTAACTAGCAGCTTAAAAAAAAAAAAAAAAAAAACTCATCAACTTTTGAGTTATCTTGCTCTACTCATACTAATGATGTTTTTTTTGTGTTAAAAATCAAGATTAAAGTTAATAGCTCAACAAATGACTATGTCACCTTTTTCGCTTGTACTCATTGATCTTCAAACAAGAAAACGCTTAAGAACTTAATTTAAACCCGCAGACGGCCAGCATTTACTTTTCTTGATTTTTAACCGAGTGACAATATGGAAAATGTTGCTTTTCACTTTTTTTTTTTTTTTAAATATTAATTTAATTGCTTGCTTTTTTAAATCCTAACCATTGTTCAAACACACCAAACAAATGTTAAAGTTTGTAACTTTAACATTTAATAAGTTATATTATATGTTTCAATCAGAAAAATTAAAATTTTCATAAAGGGAAAAGATTGGACATTTACTTTAAAACTTAGTTAAAATAATAAACTGGGGATCACGCCACATTTTTCCAATGTTACGTGAAAATTGGTGTGTAGGTAATTTAAAAAAAAAAACGTGAACTATTTATTTTATCCTTTATTGATTTTTTTTTTACTTTTCAAGGGCGATGAAAGTGTGTTGAAGTGGGTTACATTTTGATAGCAGACTCTCCAAACCCGGTTATGTTACGGATTGACTTAGATACCTATTTGGATTTGTTCTCCTTTTTTTTTTTCCAGAATACAATATCTCAAAAAATCGATTCAGTTGCATACGCAACAATTAGTAGATTTTACGACATCGCAAATGTGGGTAGCAAGTAGCACGACATGCCACCCAATTGTAACCCGTTAACACCGGGTAATATCTTCTAGTGTTTAATATTTCATTGTTGACCTTACTTCCTGAAGACGCATCAATAATTTAGTGCTTGGGCAAGGGAGTGACTATGCCTTGCTTAGGTTTATATTTATCATCCTGAGATTAGAAACTTTAAATTAAGCGATACAACAGTAATATTTATTATCACTATCAAATTAATAACAACGGTGAAACAAGATAACACCAGTAGAAACTAAAATAGTATTGACAATTTCTAAAAGAGTAACAAAAAAACAATAACACAGTCAACTATATTCTCTTATATATATTACGCTGCAGGTGTGACTCGTGGACTGCTTCCATTTCTGGCTGATTCCTATTCAGCGTATTTGGTAATGAGAGTGTATTACAAACTATAATTGTATGCCTTTGAAAGAAATTATGGTCCAATAATGAGTTCACTAGCGCGCAAAATATAATTCCCGATATTTATGCTAAATAATTTTTTTGTAATAAAGCAACTGCGTTTGGTGCGTAATATTTACTTTTCAGAAAATGAAATCGTTTCAATTTAAGTATGGTGTGAAAAATATTCGGCTTAAAACTGCTTGGGACACCAGAATATTTAATATAGTTCATGGACGTGAAATAAAAAAAGTGTGTCGTGGCGTATATCGTGGGGGAAGGGGTGTAACAAAAAATGGGATTCTTAAATCTGCGTTAATCATGATTTTCCGTTTTATCATGTAACTGTAGTAGAAACGAAGTTCACGCATTACTGTCGCCCATGTGTGGGGGCTATATCGAGTGCTCATTATTTCTTATTTATGATTGGAAGGCCAAACAATGTAATACTTTCCCGAGGTGACGAATGAAATAGATGTCCAGATCAGATGGTAATGCAGATTGATGAGAGGTTCTTCCATTTAGAGCCAGTGCACAACAATGATTAAAAATGCCAGAGAGCTTGGGCCCTGAAATTCTGGATCCGGGCAAGCACCTCAAGAGGTATCAACATGATGTGTACAAACGGATGAATGACTTTACAAACTCAATGAAATTGTATCAAGTCATTCCTGATGACCATATCATTCTTTTTCAATCTTTTTGCTAATAATATTCCCACATTTTTTTTTTTTTTTGGTATAGGAGTAGTCATTTAATTAAAACCTCTATTCATTAGTGTTCATCGTGATTCTAGTACTTTGAGTTAAATTGCATTGCATAAAGGAGACTTTCCATAATAATCATTACAGAAATCTGTTACTTATAACAATGTTTATATATATATATATATATATATATATATATATATATATATATATAT